ACCACCCCGACATCTGCACGCACCCCCTGCCCTGCTCCCGAGGCCGCGATCCCCTGCAAAAACTATGGGCCCGCGCTCCCGAGGCCCCGATCCCTCGTTAGAAAAACGATGCGTCCTCGCCCCAAGCTTCCAAGACGGCCCTGGCTGGCAGCCGAGGCAACCAAGATGGCCCAAGATGCCTCGAGGACTGGCCAGGATGGTTCCGAGGCGCCCGAATGCCTCCACGAGGGCTCCATTGGCCCCAAGAGGACCTCCAACGGGGCCCGAAGAAGCCAAACTCAATGATCCCCCATTGGCACTTAAAAAGTGCCAGAATTCTCGCCTTGTCGGGCTTCCGTCAGACGGCCCAATAAGCATCCGCGATAGTCCGAAGACGGCCCACGACGCCCCCCCGAGGGTCCACAGTTGGTCCCAGAGGACACCACGAGGGCCCAAGAGGCACACAAGACGGGGCCAGAGACGGTCCAAGAGGGCCTCCCGTGGGACCTAACACCGCCTTAGAAGGCCCTTCGGCAGCCCAACACGGCGCCAAGACGGCCTTACGACGCCCCCCCCGCGAGGGCCCCAAGACGGTCCGAGAAAGCCTCATGACGGCCTACGAGGACTCCAAGATTGCCCAAGCGGGCCTACAAGACCTCCGAGGCGCCAAGACAGCCACAAGACAATCGAAACGAGTATCATGGGAGCTCCTCAAATAGTGAAGACGTTCTCCTCCTCCTCCTCCTCCTCCTCCTCCTCCTCCTCCTCCTCCTCCTCCTCCTCTTCCTCATCATCATCCCCTTTTCCTCCTCCTCCGCCTCCTCCTCCTCCTCCTTCCTCTTCCTCCTCCTCAGACTCGGCATAATCATCCTCACCTTTACCTATAGCATCATCATCAGCATCATCATCATCATCATCACCATCACCAACATCATCCTCAGTATCATCAGCATCAGCATCAGCAGCATCAGCATCAGCAGCAGCAGCACCGCCACCACCATCACCATCATCAACCACAACAGCATTAGCATCATCCTCCTCCTCCTCCCGCTCCCCCTCGTCCTCCTCCTCCTCCTCTTCCTCCTCCTCCTCGTCAGCATCATCATCATCATCATCATCATCATCATCATCATCATCATCATCAGCAGCAGCATCATCATCATCATCGTCGTCAGCAGCATCATCATCAGCATCAGCATCAGCATCAGCATCAGCATCAACAACATCATCAGCATCATCATCATCAAGGTCTCCACCACCCCCACCTCCATCATTATCATCAGCAGCAGCAATACCATCATCATCCTCGTCCCCATCCCCAGCATAATCACCATCATCAACATCATGTCCAGCAACGTCATCGTCATCAGCGTAATCATCAGCATCATCATCCCATCTCCAAAAGCATCAGCGTCATCATCATTACCAACATCATCATCATCATCATCATCATCATCATCATCATCAGCATCATCATCATCAGCAGCATCATCATCATCATCATCATCATCATCATCATCATCATCATCATCATCATCATCATCATCATCGTCACCGTCATCATCATCAGCATCATCATCATCACCATCACCATCACCAGCATCATCATCATCAGCATCATCAACATCATCATCATCATCAGCATCAACATCATCATCATCGTCACCGTCATCATCATCAATCATCATCATCATCGTCACCGTCATCATCATCAGCATCATCATCACCATCACCAGCATCAGCATCACCAGCATAGTCAAACTCCTTACCCTAATCACCATCATAATCATCCTTATCAACAGTATCAGCATCATCACATCACCACCACGGCCCTCCCAGGCCTGAAAACACGACGCGCCACACGCGTGTGTGTGTGTGTGAGTGTGTGTGTGTATGTGTATGTGTGTGTATGTGTGTGTGGGGGGGGTGTTTGGGTGTGCGTGTGTGTGTGTGTGCGTGTGTGCGTGCGTGCGTGCGTGCGTGCGCGGGTGTGTGTGTGTGTAGTGTGTGTATTTGTGTGTTTGTGTGCGTGTTTGTGTGTTTGTGTGTGTGTGTTTGTGTGTGTTTGTGTGTTTGTGTGTTTGCGTGTTTGCGTGTTTGTGTGTTTGTGTGATTGTGTGTTTGTGTGTTTGTGTGTTTGTGTGTTTATGTGTTTGTGTGTTTGTGTGTTTGTGTGTTTGTGTGCTTGTGTGTTTGTGTGTTTGTGTGTGTGTGGGTGCGTGCGTTCGTGTAGGTGTGGGTGTGGGTGTGGGTGTGGGTGTGGGTGTGGGTGTGGGTGTGGGGGGGGGGCCGTGGGCACTCACCGCTTCAGGGTTGAGGGAAAGCTCCTTCACCCATGCCGCCCTGCTAGAGCAGGACGTGACGGCACTAACTTGCCAGGCTGGCAGAGGGACTGGGCGTGCGACAGCCAGGGGGTACGACAACAGCCAGCGAGGTGGCCAGCTAACTTAACCCTCGGCTGCTCTGCGCCTCGCTCTGCGAAATCCTTCCTCCTCCTCCTCCTCCTCCTCCTCCTCCTCCTCCTCCTCCTCCTCCTCCCACTCCCTCCTCCTCCTCCTGCTCCCTCTCCTCCAACTCCCTCCTTCCCTCCTGCTCCCTCTCCTCCTCCCTCTCCTCCTCCTCCTCCTCCTCCTTCTCCTCCTCCTCCTCTTCCTCCTTCTCCTCCTCTTCCACCTTCTCTCCTCGTCTCCTCGTCTCCTCGTCTCCTCGTCTCCTCGTCTCCTCGTCTCCTCGTCTCCTCCTCCTCCTCCTCCTCCTCCTCCTCCTCCTCCTCCTCCTCCTCCTCCTCCTCCCCGCTCGGAGTCCTGAGAACAGCGCGACGAACGTGTCCTGAGCCCGAGGCAGCGCACGTGGCGGGCTGGGTGGGGGGGAGGAGGGGGCGCGCCAGGGCTACGCAGAAGGCATCCACACACCATCACCACCACCACCACCACCACCTTGAGGAGGAGGAGGAGGAGGAGGAGGAGGAGGAGGAGGAGGAGGAGGAGGAGGAGGAGGAGGAGCAGTGGGAGGAGGAGGATGGATGAGGAGGAGGAGGAGGAGGAGGAGGAGGAGGAGGAGGAGGAGGAATGCCTGGCCAGGACCATCCTAGAATGTCCTGGGCCTGGGACGGCGTATGCGCCCTCATGGGCCTCGGCCAGGAGGGCAGACGCCATCCCAGGGCCAGGACGGCCCTGCCCAAGCGCGGTGCCGCTCGCGGACGCCTTCTGCGGAACAGGTGGCCCAGACGGAAAGCGGCCGAATGGCAGTCCCAGCGCTGGGGGCCGCCGCAGGAGTGGCGCCGTCGCAGGCGGAGGGGACGCGCCTCGCAGGACGGTCCCCGGAGAGCCTCCGGAGAGCCTCGCGGGAGCGAACGAACGAGCGACGCGCGCGGTGTCCCCGAGAGGGGTTCGGGCTGGCTGGCGGCCTGCGCGGGGCGACCGGTGCCGCCGCCTCAGAGTTCATCTCACCACTCATGTTTTGAGGCGGAGGAGGAGGAGGAGGAGGAGGAGGAGGAGGAGGAGGAGGAGGAGTTTTACCTTGGGGTGCTGGTAAGCCCGTCTGCATGTGAATCTTAGCATCCCTTGTCCGAATCTGCTGCAAGCCATGCCCCGTTGTTGGCATCGCGGTGTGGGTCCCGTCGCGGCGAATCTCAGCAGGCAGGAGCAGTCGGCGTCGAAGCTGGCGGTCGGACCACTGGAGCGTGAACCAGATCGGGCAGCTTCGGCACTGAGTCGGACATCGGCCCGGATCGGCCGCGCCAGGGTGCACAGCAGCGCCATGCGAACACCGGGAGGCGCATCGGATCGCTGGAGCATCGGCATCGAACCAAGTCGAGCTGCACAGGGGGTCGACATCGAACCCAATGGATCGCATCCACCATGGACCCTATAGCACGGAGGTCCCCAGAGGCCTCAGGAGGCCTCGAGGAAGAGAAGGCAGACCCTCGAGGCCTCGGAGGCAAGGCTCTCGCTCTCTCTCTCTCTCTCTCTATTAATCTCTCCCTATCTCTTGTTGTTTATCTCTCTATCTCTCTCTCTCTCACTCTGTAGATGGTGCGCCCCAAGAGTACAGTGGAGGCCAGCCCACAAGACACCTTGCACAAGAAACCCAACCCTGAGACCACAGGACGCGCATTGATCTTTGGCGTGGGAACGTCACGCTTCCAATCAAGAAACCATCCCGAAACCCAAGAGACCACGCGCACCCTAGGGGCAAGCAGGGTGCTTCTTGGCATGGGCCTCCACTGTAATCTGGTCTCCTGGCTGCGCCGACGCTGCAGGAGCTCGGTTGGTGCCCAGAGGGCCGAGGGCAAAGGAGGATAGGATAGGATAGGACTCGGCCTTGCGCGTGTGCTGGGAGTACGCAGCTATGCACTGTGTGAGACACGCGTGCACAACTACTACCTCTGACAATCGTATATCTACTATACGAGGTCAATGGTAACGCGCGCCGTGCAGCGCTCGACATTCTAGTATCGGGGCTGTGCGCAAGTGTGAATTTCGCACGCGGGCTGGGGGGGACACCCCTCTGGCCCCGTGGGGCCAAAACCTCAAGGGGGTCCCCAGCAACTCCGGCACGCCGTGATGCTGCTGCGGCGCACGGTGCGGGCCCCTCGAGAGGTCTGGCCCTTTTGGGCCCCGTCTTGGGGGACAGGTCTGCATCCCGAGCCAGGGCCCCCCGAAGGCCAAAGAAGGGCAGAAAGAAGTGGGAAAAGGAGGAGGAACGGAGGAGGAGGAGGAGGAGGAGGAGGAGGAGGAGGAGGAGGAGGAGGAGGAGGAGGAGGAGGAGGGGGGCAAAAGGAAGAGGAGGAGGAGGAGGAGGAGGTGGAGGAGGAGGGGGCGAACGGGAAAAAGAGGAGGAGGATGAGGAGGAGGAGGAAGGAGCGAGAAGGAGGATGACTGACTGATTGACTGACTGAGTGACGCTCCCTAACATGGCGGGATCCCCGAAGTAGACGAAGGTCACAATGAATCAAAAGGCTCATGCACCATCGCCAATTCGCGACAATATGTCTCCTGCTAAGGCCAACAAGGACTTGGGGTCGGGTGGCCTGAGGGTTGATCCTTGTGGACAGCCCTGTCTCGTCTCACCTGCTCACACGACCCCGAGACGACCTCGTGAAGGCCTTCGAGGAGGCGGAGGCTGAGGTATCCCACGTTCTCCTGATCTGGGCGACCCAAGAGTGGCCAAGCGCAACCACAGCTAGGGCTGTTTTGATGGTGGGCTGCCGTTGCATATGACTGAACAGATGAAGCAGATCTGGTCAATGGACTCCGGAAACCAGGAAGGCTCACAAAAGCTCTCGACCTGCGGGCCATGTGTTGGTCGGCAGCCTCTTCGCGCCGCCTCGGAGACTTGAGCACCCAGACCCTCGAGGCGTGTTGGGCCCGGTCGAGACGTTCGGCTGTTGTTCGAGCCGGCGTCCAAGCCGCGGCACGAGGAGAATAATCGAGGCCGCAATATTATCAAGCAGCTTGGCCTGGCCTGTAAAAGCGATCAGGGCATTACATACAAATCACCGTTCTTAAAATACATCATCCAAATGAAATTTGCCGTTCTACTGACGTCAAATGTGCTAGAGACAGTGCAAGCCCTGAAACGTCCTCATACGCAGGTCTCAAGCTTCAGTTTCTAGCTTATGTCATCCTTGTGATTCGAGGTGGCTGCTGCATTTTCATTATGCCGATGCTTGGAATATCTCTTGCTATTACGTGTTTGGGTCAGCTTCTGATGTTCCCAGATATCCGATTCGAAGACCATCATCTGCATGACGAGTTGTGTCGAATGGCCAGAGGAGGAGGAGGAGGAGGAGGAGGAGGAGGAACAGAAAACGAAGGAGGAGGAGGAGGAGGAGGAGGAGGAGGAGGAGGAGTCAAGGAAGAGGAGGGGGAGGAGAAGGATGTGGGAGAAGGATGCGGGAGGAGGGGGGGGGGAGAGGAGGAGGAAAGGAGGAGGAGGAGGAGGAGGAGGAGGAGGAGGAGGAGGAGGAAGAGGAAGAGGAGGAGGAGGAGGAGGAGGAGGAGGAGGAGGAGGAAGCGGCCAAGGAGGAGGAGGAGGAGTGGGAGGAGGGGCGAGGGGAAGGAGAAGAGGGCGGCGGGGCACGAGGCGGCGGCGGTCCTTGTCGCAGTCGGCAGGGAGGCTCCCTATCCAGATGTTCGTGGACGGCGGGTTCTCCCACGCCCCACTGTGCCACACAGCACAGCTTCGCGGCACGCAGAGGGGGGTAGGTGGAGGGGGGAAGGCTTCTTAGGAGGAGGCTGCTTCGAAGAAGGCGCCGGCCCTACATCCTACATATGCAGACGAGGCCCGCGCCTTCTAAGAAGCAGGGGTGCTTCCCAAACTGGGACCCGAACGCCGTCTGCGCTCGAGGAGCAGGAGAAAGACAAAGACCGAACTCGGACCCGACCGAGCACGGGCCAGACCGGACCGAAGCCCGATCGAACTGGGACCCGGACGCCGCCCTCCAGCGGAAGTCCTTCCCCGAGTTCGGCCAGTTCCGAATTCCCCGCGGTCCAAGATGACAAAATTTGCTCTCTTCGCGCCGTGGACGGCGGACGGCTTGTGGCGACGCTTGTCGTCTGGGGGGGCCTCGCCGGGCCCCAGGGCCGTCAGAGAGCGATGCGAGACGAGAAGGCGGTCCCTGGGGAGGGGGGCGGGCAGAGCGCTGCGGCAAAAGCAAGTGCAACGTCGGCGGTCTGGTGGGAGGGGGGGGGAGGGGGGGAAGAGGGGGGAATAATAGAGAGGAGGGGGGGGGGAGGGGGGGGGAGGGGGGGGGGGAGGGGGGGGGGGAGGGGGCGGAATGGAGAGAGCGGACGAGGCGGAAGAAGGAAGGGAGGGGAGGGGCGGGAGGGCGGGAGGGAGGGCGGGCCTGGCCCCAAGCCGGAGAAGCAGCGGCATCCTCGGCGAGGTATGCTTCTCCCCGAGCGCGGCTGCCTCTGCAAGAGACTCCGAGGGCCCCGGATCGGCCAGGCGACCCCCCCCCCACCAGCAGGCGGGGTGGAGGCGGAGGAAGGGAAAGGGAAAGGAGGACGGGGGCGCAGAAGGGGATGAGCAGCATCAGCAGCAGGAGGGGAGCCATAAGAAAGAGAAGAGGGAGGAGGAGGAGGAGGAGGAGGAGGAGGAGGAGGAGGAGGAGGAGGAGGAGGAGGAGGAGGAGGATAATGAGGAGAGGGAGGGGGAAAAGGATGAGGAGGAGGAAGGCGGAGGAAGGAGAAGGAGGAGGAGGAGGAGGAGGAGGAGGAGGAGGTAGGAGGGGGAGGTAGGAGAGAGAGGAAGAAGAGAAGAAGAAGGAGGAGGATAAGGATGAACGATCCCAAACGCCCCCCCCCCCCCCCCTCGGGCCAGGCAGGCCCCAGGCCCTGCCTCAGAAGGCGACGTGCGCCGAGAAGACGAGTGAGCGCCGAGGCTCTCAGTCGTCCGTCTCGTGCCCCCGTCCAGAGCCCCAATGCGGGAGAAACAAATACCGCGGGTTTGTGTTGTGCCAATTTTGGGCGTTGGCTCCTGAAACCGCGGGGATCGTTCCACCTTGAACGATCGGCCCTTTCCGCAACGTCTGATCGCTCCACGTCGACCGACTCTGGCTGGGGGCGTTTCCGATGTTGAACGCCAGCGGTGGGGTCGCGGCCGGTCGACACGACGCGAACCTGCCGTCTGGGGCATCGCCCAGCTTGACCCCTTGCGGGAGGAACAGGTACCCCCGGTCCATAGCATTCGGCTCAAGCCTGCATTAGCCTAATTGGCTGTCCATTGCAGAAGGCACAAAGTGGTAGCAACATGCTGGGTGCTCATAGAACCCCCGAGACACGGCACTTCGGCAAGGGAGGAGCGAGCTGATCGTGTGAAAAAGCTAATCCAGCGTTCCGTCCATTATTGCTTTCTCCTTTTCTCTCTCCACCTCCTCTCGTTGCGGAGAAAAACCACGACGGTAGGTTTTGGAGCAAGTTCGGGCCGCTAAACTATCGGTGGTTGAAACCAAAAGGGTGTCTCTGGTGTGATCCGAAAAAGGAGCAACACGTCAATGACACGAAGCGCTGGCAATCCAAGCAAGCATGAACGCCAGCGACCACTTCAATCAGAGTTGGAGGCGAATAGGAGCGAGCGCGCTAGCAACAGTTAATCACGCCTTCGAGCGGCATTGTAGAACGCTCGTGCCTGACCCGCTCTAGTCAAAGTCTTCCTGCTTCACATCCTACCCACTGTTAGCTAATGGACACTCGACAGAGACACTCAAACAATGCCTCCTTAGACGTTGTACTCCCTCCTTCCCTCCCTCCTCCCTTCTCTTCCCTTCCTCCCCCTCCCTTGCCCTTCAGGACCCCTTGTCGAGTCATGACGGCCTCCCCTAGAGTTCTACCGGCTCGATCTTTGAGGCACGGGCGCCATGGATTTCTCGACCCCTTTCCTGGGGCCAGCGTTTCGTCCGGAGCCGTTGCTTAACGGACCCCCGGCCCAAAACCGACCCCTCAGCAATTAAAAACGCCTCGATTCGTTCGAAGCGTGCCATGTCTGGGATCCGCCCGATCCCTTGCGCATTCATTCTCACTTGAACATACATGTGTGTCGTGTCTTTTTTGTTGTGAGTGCGCACACATCGTCAAACAACGAATGCAAAGATATCCCATGGTGTCGCGATCGACGAGAATACCCCGTAATGCGCTTGTGCAAGTGTGATAACTCTTCTGACTCTTGTAGGGGGGCTATTCTCTGCCTTAGCCACCTCCTCGCAGAGATCTGCTATACCCAAAACTACGTCAGCATCTTGGACTGGCACCGTGAAGAAACACATCTTTTGCCAGGCGCCAAATACTCGTACAAACAAGTCACCTCCAGTCTGTGTTGCGCTGTGTTCGCAAGGAGGCGCCGTGCTCCTTTCATCCTTCACTGAAAACGTCCTTTGATCCACAGTGATATGTGTTATTTCTGCTGATGGCATTTCCCACGAGGCAAGAGCGCAAGTACGAAATAGTTTTAGACCCCTGCCCGCTGGTCCAGGCAATGTGTTGCTTAATGCTACTCCCAATGCGTCCACCATGCAAATGATCCTCTTTTCTTTCAAACATGTTGCCTGGGGAATGTAAGTGCTAAACGAAATAATTCCGGCACGCCAGAAAGTAGCAAAACGTGGAGCGATACTTCCAATGCACATGCACATGCAACTCAATAGAGACACGAAGCCAAACGCGACGAACAAGTGTGCTGCGGGGCCCGCTCCCCTCCTGGCCTCGGGGGGTGAATCCGTGGCCCTCAAAAGTCGGCTGTAGGCTTGTGCGTGTGGGGCTGGTCGGAAGAAAACTCTTAAGCCCCTCGCGCCGACTAGGAGGAGGAGGAGGAGGAGGAGGAGGAGGAGGAGGAGGAGGAGGAGGAGGAGGAGGAGGAGGAGGAGGAGGAGGAGGAGGAGGAGGAGGAGGAGGAGGAGGAGGAGGAGGAGGAGGGGAGAGGAGGAGGAGGAGGAGGAGGAGGAGGAGGAGGAGGAGGAGGAGGAGGGAGGGAGGAGGAGGAGGAGGAGGGAGGGAGGAGGAGGAGAGAGGAGAGGAGGAGGAAGGAGGAGGAGGGAGGAGGAGGGGAGGAGGAGGGGAGGAGAGGAGGAGGAGGAGGAGGCGGAGGAGGAGGAGGAGGAGGAGAGGAGGAGGAGGAGGAGGAGGAGGGAGGAGGAGGAGAGGAGGAGGAGGAGGAGGAGGAGGAGGAGGAGGAAGGAGGAGGAGGAGGAGGGGAGGGAGGAGGAGGAGGAGGAGGAGGAGGAGGAGGAGGGAGGAGGAGGAGGACAAGACACGCGGGGTGACACGTGAGCACCTCTCGTGCGCCCCGTGTGCCCGCGGTGGCAGCTCAGGGGCCGCCTGGGCCCCCCTCGACCACCTCCCTGCAGCCCTCGACCCCCCGGCAGCTCCTTGGCCCCCCCCCCTGTTTGAAGGGGAACTGGGACACACAAATAAATAGACACAAATAAAAAGATTCTCCCCACTTCCCCCCACTTCCCATATTTTCCCATATTTTCCTGGAAGTCGACGATGAATTGTGCCTGTGTGTTTCTTTCCCTCCTGACTGTTGCCGCCCGCCCGCGGGAATCCGTCCGAGGATCCATTGCTGATGGTCCCGGGGCCCGATCCCAGACCTCTTCGCGCCGTGAAAAAATCCGGGCGGAAGGCTTTTCCTAATGGTCTGCCTCTGGAGGCCCTCACCGGGTTCTCGGGACCGTCAACAAAACGAGTCGGGAGGAAAAAACATTCCATGGGAATGGGTCGAGACGTCTGAGGGTCGACGTTAGGGAAAAATCATGACGTTGGAGGTCTGTTATCGCGGCGCCTTTTTTAGGAGGCTTCCAAAAGATGCCATACGACACCGAGCTACGGGCCGCACCCGTGAGGCCGCTTGACGAGGAGGCGCGTCGTATGACTTTGTTTGGTCTGGAAGCGAAAACGGGGTAAGTACTTCACGCTCTGAGTTTCGGGGAAACAAGACGTGCCGATACCGCTACCCCCCGGCCCGACCCTCTCCCAAGGTGCGTTCTGACAAGGATTTCGCATAGAATCTGGCCGTAGTGACCAGGAGTGGGGCAGCGGCATCGGTGTCTTTCCATTTGGGGGGGCAGGTGCCGAAACCGAAGAAAAACGCATGAACATAACAGATCGTATCGTCGGGGGATGGCCGCGTCTTGCGGCAGCCACACACACCATGTTGGCAGACATGCTGCGTGAGCCCTCTGGGGAGCCCAACACGGCTGATTTGACCCCGTGGTGGCCCTGTGACCCAACGGGGCTGTCTGACCAGAACACGAAAGCCGCCACAAACATAAACTTTTGGCACTCCGCGCGGATTTCTTGGATCTGCGCTGAACCCCCCACCCTGGCGCGCGGAGCGCGCCAGGGGCGGCGCCGGAGGCACCGCCAGGGGGCGGGGCTCAGCGCGGACCCAAGCAACCCGCGCGGAGCGCCACAAAATTCACGCTTCTGCGGCGCGCTTCCCGCGTCGAGCGACCCCGTGCTGACGCTGACCGCCGCTCCCGTGCAGAGGCCCGATCGTGGCGCGCACCGCACGCCCGGCGCCACCCGTGCCCGCCGCCCCCCTCCTTGCCGTCCGGGCCCTTCTTCACAAAGGTGCGGGCGATGGCCGGCCGGCCGTCGCCGGCCCTGCCGGCGTCGGCGCGGCCGCCCTTGCCGGCTCCTGCCCAGGGGGGGGGGGGTCGGCGGGGCCGCGCTCGCGCGGCGAGCCCCCTGCTCCCTGAGGGGGGCGGGCACCCAGACCCCCTCGAGTCGTGGGAAGGATCACGACGCGAGGCTCGAGCCTCGCGTCGTGACGATTGAGTTGAAAGCTGGATCAAGCGACGTCGAGCTTCGCGACGATCGTCGCTACTTTCGGCCTCTGGGGGGCCTGACCGGGCCCAGGGACCGCCCGCAAGAACGATGCAGGATAGATAGAACGGTCCCAGGGGATGGGTCGAGACCTCTGGGTGTCGACTTGATGAACACATGATGGCGTCGGGGTCTGGGACTGGCTCGGAGGGAAAACATTGAGCTGGAATCGGCGGCAATAGTTATCCTTGATCCTCGTCTTCCTCCCTCCTCCTCTTCCTCTTCCTCTTCCTCTGTCGCCTCCCGCTCCTCCTCCCAAGCCACTTTTGACAACCGCGCTGCCCACTCTATCTCGTACCACCTTCGCACGGTGGGTTGTGCGCGCTCTTTGAGGCAAGGATCCAAGGCACGCAGCGGTTCGTACTGTGGTGTGTGTGCGCTGGGACGTCGGCTCCGCACTGGCGATAGTGGAACGAAAGAAAGAGGGGACGCCAGTGGGAACGATAGGCAAGGTGACAACAAATCAAGACAGAAGGCTTTGTGGTATCTTCGCCCTCGCCAGGCACCGGGACCCCCCAAAAAAAGAAACCCAGGCCAAAACCCGGTCCCAGAGAATGCGTGCAGCAGGAACATCAGGGACCCGCGCTGCAAGCAAAACTACAACAAGAGGAGGAGAAGGCGGCCCAGGGAGGGAAACATGGAGCTGTCATCGGCGATAGGCCCCTGATTGCCAGCCCGCACGTTCCTGGGCGGGCTGATCCGTCGGGCCCCTCTTGGCGATGAATCAGCGATTGGGGGGCGATGCATCCTCCCCCTGAGCCTACATTGCACACAGGAGGCACAGGGGGCTGTCTCCAGCAGGGGAAGATGATCCTAGATGTTGATGTAGATGGTAATCTTGCAGCCAGCTAAGAAGCCCGAATATTACCACATCACCGAGATCGGGATCATCTTCCCTCGCTGGAGGCACACCGCCGATATTGGTGCTGGTGTCAACCTGGCGTTGCCCCTGGGACACCCCAAGGGCATCGGGATAGCACTGAAGGAGCGGGAGGAGGAGGAGGAGCGACGTTGGCCAGCAAGAGAAGGGCGGACAAGATATGGAAAACGACCCGGGGGAGAGGACAAGAGACAGGCAATAACTGAGATGATGAAGTCCGATGCCCTTCAAGAGGGCTGCCCCGGTAACGGACAGGAAGGCACGCCACGGGCAAGGTGGGCGCACAATTCCGACCCCCTAGGAGGAAGAACACTGCCGAGGAGGAGGAGGGGGAGGAGGAGGAGGCAAGGAGGGCTAGGAGGAGGAGATGGAGGCGGAGGAGGAGGGGGAGGAGGAGGAGGAGGAGGTAGGAGTAGAAGTAGGAAGATACTGTAGGAGGAGGAGGATAACGTAGGATGGAGGAGGAGGAGGAGGAGGAGGAGGAGGAGGAGGAGGAGGAGGAGGTAGGATGGAAGAGGAGGAGGAGGAGGAGGAGGAGGAGGAGGAGGAGGCGGAGGAGAATGTAGGAGGAGGAGGAGGAAGCTCGGGGTGCGCCTGGGGGGGAGGGGGGCAAGGAAAGACGGGTAGGGTGCGCATCGTGGCCCGAGGCGCCTGCCCCGACCTCTGCGCCGACCCTGCTGGAACAGCTTGCTGGTCGCAGTGGCGCGGATCCGCGCCGCAGTCGGAGGCAACCGAGGGGCGCTGCGGGGGCCAGATGGGGCACAGTCGAATGGACAAACCACGACGGGAGGCTGTTGAAGCTAATTTCTGGCCCCTGGGACCTCAAGGCCCTGGGGCCGTCAGAACACAACTCGGGGTGAGAACACTGGTCTCGGGAAGTGGTCCAGGCCTCCAGGGGTCCACGCTGCCAGAAAACCGTGACGCCGAAGGAACTCCTGGAGCTTCGAGGCCTGAACTGGGGCTCGAAGCTTTTGGGCGTGTGTCAACCTCAATGGGGAGTCTGGGGGGCTTCTCGTCGCCAGCGTTGGTCTACCCCTCGGGCTCCCGGCTACGCACCCTTTGACAGGTCTGAAAGGGAACCTTTGACTCCGAGAAGGAAAAGGAGGCCTCGGATCCCTCAGGGCTGGGAGTTTGGGGTTCTGGCCTGGACGGGCCTGTACACTGAAAGCCCAGCCCACTTCTACACGGACTGTCAGCATGTTGTACTCTTGCTCAATTTCAGTGAAGCCGGTCCGAGATCGGCCAAGCGTCAGTACGCAGGACAACTCATCCAAGCCAGACGTCACTTCGAGCGGCACCTTATCTCTTCTGGCAAATCGCCGCTCATCGCGAGCTTGAAGAAGAGGAATATCGGCGCGTGAACGCTTCATGCGCCTAGGCAACCACCCCGCAGATGTGGCAGCCAAGGCTGCTGTGGAGCAGCGTCCCGTCTGGAGCCCCTCGGAGGAGGAAGAGCTTCAGCACCAAATTAAGATTTCCCGTCATGTCCCACTGGCGGAAGCGGTCTTGCTGCCACTTTGGCCGAGGCCCGAATTTCGAGGCACGGAGCGAATCCCGTCGCGTGCGCCCAAGTGTAACCCTGAGCTCGAAGACACCAATGACTGGGTGCACTGGGATCCTCTCTTTCGGTGCAGTGTCTGTCTTGTAATGCTTATCCTTGCAATGGCAACAGCAAAATGTTTCTCTGCATGCTTTGCAAGTTTCATAGCAGTGGAGGTCAAGTGCTCGGCCCGGAAAGGTAATGCCCCCCACACACCGTGACTGATGTGAAGAGCATGCGCAGTCCCCGTAAAGGCCTGCACCCTGATAAGAAGGGTGTCACTGCGGACCTTGATGAATTCATCCCCGTGCTACAAATTAAAAGTTGAACTTACGCACCCACGGACCGCCCTTGGCCGTGGATGCTGAAACCGTCACCAGGGGCATGAGGCGCTGCTGCCAACAAACAAGAAGGAAGGAGGAAAGATGAGCGAGGAGGAAGTGGAGAGGAATGGAGGGAGGTGGGGGGAAGGGGGGGGGACGGAGGAGGAGGAGGAGGAGGGAGGAAGAGGAGAGGGTGAGGAGGAGGAGGAGGAGGAGGAGGAGGAGGAGGAGGAAGAGGATGAGGAGGAGGAGGATGAGAAGGAAGAAGAGGTAGTATGATAGCGCTGGAGGACACAATGCGCGAAGGATGGAGAGGAGGACCGAAGAGAAGGTGAAGGAGAGAATGGGGAATTGGAGCAGTGGGGGTGAAAAACACGAGAGAAGTGGAGGGGGGAGGGAGGGGGGGGGGGGAGGAGGGGAGGAGGAGGAGGGAGGGAGGAGGAGGAGGAGGAGGAGGAGGAGGAGGAGGAGGAGGGAGGAGGAGGAGGAGGAGGAGGAGGAGGAGGAGGAGGAGGAGGAGGAGGAGGAGGAGGAGGAGGAGGAGGAGGAGGAGGAGGAGGAGGAGGAGGAGGAGGAGGAGAGGGAGGAGGAGGAAGAGAGGAGGAGGAGGAGGAGGAGGAGGAGGAGGAGGAGAAGGAGGAAGAGAAGGAGGAGGAGGAGGAGGGGGGAGAATGATGAGTGAGGAGCAGCCGCAGCCGAATGACGAGGGGTAGGGGGGGAGATAGGAGGCAAGAGGTGAACGGAGTGGGATGAGGTCGACTGGCGGCACGCCTGGCCAGATGCGCCCCTTGGTGCCCTTGCCGGTGTCGCCCTTGTCCACTCTGCCGCTTCCGATCTTGCCTCCAGCCGGGGAGGCGGAGGGGTCGACGCAGAGGAGCCCGAACCGAGAAGGCGGCCGGGGAGGGAGGAGAGGGAGGAACGGCTGGAGAAGGGGAGGCCAGAGAGGGGGGGGGGGTAAGGGGGCGGAGGAACGGCCGAGGAGGAACGGCTGACACGGGGGAGATGCTGGACCCGGGCATCCGCTGCTTCGGTTTGATCGATGCGTGGGCTCTCGGACCTCTGGGCCCCTACCCAGAGCCAGCTCTTCATCCCGAGTCTGGCGGCCTCGAAGCCCGAAAGTGGCCTCCAGATGCCCAAACACGGAGACCAGCCAGCGGCGTCGCTTTTTCCAGGCGCAGGAGGGAGGAGAGGGGAAGGCAGGAGGGGGGGGGGAGGGAGAGTGCAGGAGGGGGAGAAGGGAGGAACGTGGGAGGAGAGGCGAGGGAAGGGGAAGGGACGGGCGGGGGGAGGGGGGAGAGAGTGCAGGGAGGAGGGGATGGGCTACGGGAGCCGTTTTACCCCCCCCGCCTTCTCCGCCCATTTCATCTGCTGGGGAAGGGGGGGGGAAGGAGCCTCACGCAGAGGAAACGAGTCTAATTAGCCTGGCGAGGAAGGACCGGACTACGTGCAGCTGGAGCAACGCAGGATAGATGACAAGAAGGAGAGGGCGAGCAAGAGGACTGGGACGCGGAGGAGAAGGATGAGGTGAATAAGAACACGTGGGCCAGGAAATTGTGAGGTAGACAATCAATGGAGATCCCCAGGGGGCCAAGACGCGTGTGAGGGGTGTGCCGAAACCAGCGCAGAAGCGCAATGCGAACCCCCTGCCTCTGGTGCTTTCGGTGGAGTTCCCTACATGGCCACATGAGCGCCACAGCATACGATCCCTGCTGCTGATGCTTCTGTGTAGCTCCCTAGCGGGCCATGGGGTGTGCCATAATGGGCACTGCAGCCAGCGAACCCTGCCGATGGGGCTTTCGGTGGAACACCCAACGGGCCCATGACACGTACGAGGGGCGTGCGGACATGGACCCATGCGGAGGGCAGCGTCGAGAGTGGCAGGGGCACTCCTCCTCCTACTCCTCCTCCTCCTCCGCCTCCTCCTGCTCCTGTTCCTCCTCCTCCTCCTCCTCCAACTCCTCCGCCTTCTCCTCCTCCTCCGCCTCCTCCTCCTGTTCCTCCTCCTCCTCCTCCTCCTTCTCCGCCTCTTCTTCTTATTACTCGTATTATTGGTATTACTAGTACAAGTATTATGTTTATCGTTATCCTTCTTAGTATTAGCATTATTAGTAACATGATTCGTCTTCCTCCTCCTCCTCCTGCTCCTCCTCCTCCTCCTCCTCCTCCTCCTCCTCCTCCTCCTCCTCCTCCTCCTCCTCCTCCTCCCCCCCTGGGCCTTTGCCGCCGTCGCCCTTGCCCCCTTTGCTGCCCTTGGCCGCCTCGAATTTGCCACCTGCTGCGGAAGCCGGGCCGGGCAGGTCCGAGGAAGGAGGAGGAGATTATGATGCGTCATCGGGGGACCTTGTCTGTCACGTCGCGGCCCTATCCGCGTCGAATGCGTGCCGTGTCGAATCCGTGCCGAATTCGCATCGGATCCGCGACACAAATTCGCGTCGAGCCCGCATCGAGCCTGCGTCGGGCACAAGAAGGGACACCAGTTCTGGAGATAGGCGAGGCCCCCCGAAGATGCAACGTACATGAGGGTGGGTAGGCACCCACTTGGAGGTAGCCTGTGTCTCAATCTCTGCCTCCGCTACGTGTGCTTGTTTTCCCGTGCCATATGGATGCAAGGGCCTGGCGTTCGCTCTGTGTCGCCTACGACTGAAGAAACTGATGGGGGAGCACAGGACATGTGTTTTGTCTGCGGCGGTGGGAACGACCGCACCGCGACTCGAGAGGCCATCGGGCCACGGAGGCGCGAGGAGATGCGCGGAAGGGAAGAAAAGGCGGACGCGAAGGTGAGGAAGCACGAGGGCACGGTCAGGGCATGCAGCTTTCCGCGTGCAGTGCTGCAACCTCAGGCTCTTCAGGGCGTTGTGCGACGGATGCCGCTGAATCTGTCCACCCGAACTGTCCAGAGCTCGCGTCTGGGCAGCGCCCTGGAACAGCGCCCGCGCGCAGCGGCGGTGCCTGCGCAGAGCCCGGGGGCACAAGAGAAGCGCTCCACTTCCAGATGGTCGGCTCCGGAAGCCCTGGGCCCCCCAAGTGGTGCCACGCCTTCGGGGCGCCTCCCTCACCTCCGCCGGGCCTCCGCGGGCTTCCGCCCGGCGGGGCCACCCAGATTCTGCCTCCGCTGCCACCCCGCTCCCAGATGGTCGGCTTCGGGAGCCCTGGACCCCGAAACGGTGCCCTGTCCTCGGGACGCCTCCCTTGCCTGCGCCGAGCCTCCGCCGGGCTTCCGCCCGGCGGGGCCACCCAGATTCTGCCTCCGCTGCCCCCTGTCCGCTCTTCCGCGGCCCTGCGCCGAGGCAGGGACGTCGGCCCCGCTCGGCCCTCGAGGGCGAGGCCCCGCCTGGAGCGCCCCACGCCATCCCACCAGCCCCCTGGGCCAAAGTGGTCGAACGACCGGCGGAGCCACCCCGTTCGGTTTCCGCTGCCCCCGTCCGCCCTTCCGCCGCCCTCCGCCGAGGCAGGGACGTCGGCCCCGCTCGGCCCTCGAGGGCGAGGACCCGCCTGGAGCGCCCCGCGCCATGCCACCAGCCCCCCGCGGGCCCGAAGTGGTCTAGCGATCTCTGGCCTCTCCATTCCCAAGATACTCGTCCCTTCCGGGAGGTTTCCCCTCCGCCGCCCCTCCCTCAGGCTTATCGGCGCGGGCCGCGAGGTGTCAGGGCGCCCCTGTGACTGCCCGTGTCTCTCCGCCCCTCTTCCCGACAACTCTCACGGGCAAGGTTCTTTGATGGGCTTGCGGGGGTACTTTCTTGATCGCGGGCGCAACGGAAGAGCCGAACGCCGTCAGACAGTCGCAGCAGCCAAGCTGAACTGTCTCAATGAAGCCACGAGCGCGCAGGTGCGACCTGCGCAGCCACTCAGGAGGCGAAGGAGGCTGGTGGGGATACGGGAAGCGTGATGAATAACCGTCAAAAGCTGCCTCGGGGACCACACGGCTCTTCTCTCTGTCGTCGCCCGCCACTGAAGGGGCCCTGAGACACACAAATGAATACACACAAATAAAGGACATTCCCCATATGTTCCCATAGATTATTGGTTTTTCTCTTCCCCAGCACTTCCCATATGTTTCCATCTTTTCCTGGGGATCGACGACTACTTGTGTCTGTGTGTTTTTGTTCCCCTCCTGAGCCACGCGCCCCACTCCGTGCGCAGGAGCTGCCGGTGGCCCCGGGTGCGCCGGAGGGGTGGAGCCGTCGAGGCGGAGCAACAGGCAGCAGATCCTTCTGAAAGCCCCGACCGCCCCGCGCTGCAGGGCAGGACTGCGGGAGGTGTTTGGCCATTCTCGGCCTCTGGGGGCATCTCACTGGGCTTAAGTCGGGCCTGTCCCCCTACAGGGGGATTACTGCGTGGAGCTCCCCATATGTGCATCTATTCGCATGGACCTGTCCGCCGTGAGTGTCTAGGCGTAAGAGCTTCCGAATATAAACGGGCTTCAGTTGTGACGGTCTGAACATGAATCTGACTGCGAATGAATTGGAGTGTGAATGAGCCTCTGTAGTACGAGCGCGTCTCTGCGCATGAGCCTGGGGCCTCCTGGGGCCTCCTGGGGCCTCCTGGGGCCTCCTGAAACCTACTGGGGCGTCCTGGTGTCTCCAGGAGCCTCTTGGGGCCTCCTGGGACCTCCTAGGGAGGTTTCGTGCCCCAGGAGAGGCCCAATCTATAGCAACAGACTCACATAAAACATTGCGGATTAGAGCCACAGGAAAAGGGCAATCTATAGGAACACACGTAAAACACCAAGGACTCGTGCCCCAGGAGAGGCCCAATATAAAGGAACATACGTAAAACATGTAGGCTTGTGTACACAGGAGAAGGGCAATCTATAGAACCATACGTGTAACATCGAGGAATCGTGCTCCAGGTGAGGCCCAATCGATAGGAGCATTTGTAAAACACATGGGATTGGAGCCACTCCTGTTGCCTTCTGAGGCCTCCTGCTCCTGGGGCCTCTCAGGGCCTCCTGTTGCCTTCCGAGGCCTCCTGGCGCTTCCTGTGGCCTCCTGGTGCCTCCTGTGGCTTCCTGAGGCCTTCTGGAGCTTCCTGGGGCCTCCTGGAGCCTCTTGGGACATCCTGTGGCCTCTTGAGTCTTTCTGTGGCCTCCTGGGACCTCATGTTGTCTCCTGGGGCCTGTTGGAGCCTCCTGTGGCATTCTGAAAAAATCTGCGCCCACGAGCCTGGCCACCAAAACAAGCAAACCGGTCGGGACATCCTCAAAATCTGGCCCACCTGGGAGGTGAAAATGAGCGCCTCGCTCGAGACATCCTCCAAATCTGCTCCGAAAGCGAAGGATGTTGGGACAGACAATAAGCAAACCGCTTGAGACATCCCCACAACACGGCCGCGAACGGGACAGTGAGATAACCCCTGGCGGCTCCCCTTAGGGAGGTGAAAATGAGCGCCTCGCTCGAGACATCCTCCAAAGCTGCTCCGAAAGAGAAAGATGTTGGGACAGACAATAAGCAAACCGCTTTAGACATCTCCACAAAACGGCCGCGAACGGGACCGTGAGATAAACCCTCCTGGCGGCTCCCCTTAGGGACGTGAAACTGAGCGCCTCGCTCGAGACATCCTCCAAATCTGCTCCGAAAGCGATGGATGTTGGGACAGACAATAAGCAAACCGCTTGAGACATCCCCACAACACGGCCGCGAACGGGACAGTGAGATAACCCCTGGCGGCTCCCCTTAGGGAGGTGAAAATGAGCGCCTCGCTCGAGACATCCTCACAATCTGCTTTGGTAGCCAAGTATGTTGGGATAGAAAACAAGCAAACCGCTTGAGCCGCATGAGGCATCCCCACAAAACAACCGCGAACGGGGCGCGAGTGCGTCGCACCATGAGTGAGTCTGAGTAGGCGTAGGTCTAAGCATGAGTAGGTCTGAGTATGAGTAATTTTGTGTGAGAGTAAGTCTGGGTATGAGTAAGTCTGAGTGTGAGTCAGTCTGTGTATGAGTAAGTCTGGGTATGAGGAGGAGAGGGGAGGAGAAGAGGAATAATGAGGAGTAGGAGGCGTCCAAGTAAGAACAAGAATCCCATCTTCGGTTATGGGGACTAAAGAATACCCCAAAAATAATCCAAAGATAATCCAAAAATAGTCTGGGGACTATTTTTTGTATTTTTTGACCTTTGGGGAATATTTCTGGAGTACTTTCGTTGAAAATCCCCCTGTAGGGGGACACGCCCGACATAAGACTACGGGAGGTGTTTGGCCATTCTCGGCCTCTGGGGGCCTCTCACTGGGCCCCAGAGACCGTCCAAGAATGACAGCCGGAGGTGCGATGCAGAACGTCATGAGTTAAGAAACCTGAGCCAGCTTTCCGGCAGCGTCGCAAGACAGGCCTGGGCAGGGTGTTCGTGTTGACGCAGGAGGGGCGAACGTGCTCAAGAAGCTGGGCCAGCTTTCCGGCAAGTCAAGAAACGCTGGCCCAGCTTTTCGACAGGAGATTTCTCAATCAGATGCCCGACTGCACTCGAGACGAGAAGATCTCTGGGGGGAGCACGTTGTCAAACAATCGCGACGTCGGAGCTCTGGCAGGGGCGCGGTCCCTTCTGAGAAGCTCCCTGCCTTCTCGGGAAGCCACCGAATCCCTCGCCCCGTCCCCGACCAAAGGCCGCCCACAACACGTCCCCGCATCCTTCCTGCGTTCCGTTCCGGCTGGCTCTCTGAGCCGCGCCCAGCCGTGGCGACGAGGACCACCAAGAGAGCCCCCAAACCTCCCAAGCAGCAACGACGACGACGACGACACGACGACGACGACAACGACGACGACGACGATGACGACGACGACATCGACGACGACAGCGCCCCAGCCAATGAAGCGTCACGCCCGCGGGTCTCAAGACCAACGTGGCCCGAAGCCTCAATCCAGAAGAGCTCGAAGTGAACGATTCGCTTGTCATCCTTGTCAGGGGATGCCGATCGATAGCCTGTTGACTCTGTTTGTGATCCCCAGCATGTGCAAGCGACGACGATGAACCTGCCCCCCCACCCGGGGCGGACGCAATTGGGGGATAGCACGGGGGGAGTCGGTGCAGCAGTTGCACGCAGTGGATTCTCCCAGCGCCTCACGGAGCCGGAGGCGACCATGTGTCGAGGAGAGTGCCTGGCCGTGGGGCCGAGGCCAGATGCACGCAGCAGATTTCTGGCCCACCCCCTGTCGCCCCCGCACCTCCCCCCTTTTACGTCCGCCCCCCCCGCCGCCCGCCCCCTCCCCTCCCCCATCGCCGCCACCTTTGCCTCCCGGGCCTTTTGCGCCGCCTCCTTTGCCGCCGTCACCTGCGGGGACGGGGCAGGAGGGCGGCCACCTCCTACTGCTCCTGCGCCTGCTCTTGCTCCGGCCGCATCGTGACGGCTTGGCGCTGTGGTTTCCGACACCGCGGGGATCTCTCAGCTTTGAATTGGAACGATCGCCGCCTTCCAACAGCGCAGATCGCTCGACATCAGCCGACTCTGGGCCATTCGCAGCGTTTTCAGCCTCGAACGGACTGCTCGCACAACCCTCCGCGAAGGTCAGCGCAAGTCATGTTGCTCCCGAGCACCTGGCCCCTCGATCTCAATGTCCAGCGGCGCGCAGCGCCTCCGCAAGCGAAGCCAAATGGCCGTGTGCCCAATGGCGCGCCGGCAAGCATCGCGAGGCGAGGCGAGGCGAGGCGCCGGTCAGTCGTCCCGGGGGACGGCCCTACGAGAGCCCAGCGGTGGCGCCACAGCGCCGATACAAAATGCAGACCGAGGGGGCAGGAGGGAGGATGGGGGGACTCAGGCCTTGGTGTTGGAGTTTTGCGCACGGTCCCCAGCGTTGACGTAAGCCAAGAATTTCGGCTCTACGATTGAATGGACGTGTACGCACATCGAACCACGCTCACCCAGCCGCGGAAAAAAGGAGGTGAGAAGAACACACGAAGAGAGAGGGGGGGAATGCACGACGAGCGAGGGCGAGAGGCGAAGAGGCGCGGCGAGCGAGGGAGGGACGAACGAAAAGAGAGGGCCGCCGAGGGGAGACGGGGGCGGGGGATTCTGGGAAAACCAAGCACTGTCATCAGTTTCTGGTGCGATCACGGGCATCGGGGGTCCTGGGGCGCCTTCGCGTCCCTGGAAAAGCCGACGTCAGGCTGCACGTAGGGAACACCTGGCTCGGATCTTTCCCGAGACCTGTGGCCCTCTGAAAAGCAGCCGAGAAGGCGCCGCCGTGCTACACGCTGTGGTCATGCGGTAATCGGCATCGGTCGGATCTGCCATATCGCCCCGCTCACGCTCATGCTCCTCATGCCTCGTTCGGCTTTTTGGGGGTCTCTGGTGCGCGGCTTTTTTGGGGGCCGCCAGGGGGGGGGGAGGGGCAAACACAAGCGCGCAAGACGCCACTGCCGCCTCGATGTCGGCGATCGGGGGACCCCAATGGGCCCGCACCAAAGGTCACTCTGGCGAAGGGTCACTCTTACGTCTAATCGAACCCTGTGGACCCCGAGAGATCTGGATCCATTTCCCGGTTGAACGTAACTCCGTTCGGGCGGGTGGTGATGGGAGAGGACCTACATGGGGGAAGACAATGGCCCCTGTCGAGCCCTTCTCTCCACCCCCCATGTAAGGTCACCCCCCATGAATTACCACCCGCCCGCTCCGTGCTGTTCGCAGCCCCGCGGCCAGCGAGCCCCCCCAGAGGCCGAAAATGTCCCAATGTGCACGAGGAGGTCTGGTTTTCGGGTCGTACAGTCGGGGCGTTGACCTAAGGAACCCTAAATTAGGAGCGAGGCCCCTTTTTTCCATGAGTTAAACTTCGATTTCCCATCGAAAACCTACGGAACACAGAAGGCAAACTGTGAAACAATTAAAGAACACGGAGCCCCTCCCAAACGAGAAGGGTTCCTTCTTCAGCGCCCCGACTGTAGCTGGGTTCTCCGGCGACTGTTCGGGACGATCCAGGCGCCCCCAGAACGCCCTCCGGAGAGGCGCAGCTACCGGAGAGCATCCCGAGGCCAGGAGAGAGATCAAGCTCGAGCCGCGATCGTTTTGACGACAAGGGGAGCCGGACTGCTGGCGCCTTGATATTGCCACATGGCCGACCCCAAAAAGGACCAGATCACTTCCCCGGGAGCGCAATCTCCATCCCCGCGAGGCCCTTGCTGCGGCCCCGGGCCCCAGCAAGGGCCTCCCAGAGGCCGAGGACTGCCGAAAACCTCTCCTTGGGCTTTGGGGTCCGAGTAGAGGGAGTCGGAGGATCGCGCAGCATCGCCGATGCACCACCGGTGTATCGGCGATGCATGGGCGACGTCGGCGACGCATGGGCGCTGTCGGCGTGGAACACAATCGGGCTCCACATCAAGCCGCATCGCCGATGCTTCGGCGATGCGGCGCGATCTTTCGACCCAGACCCCCGAGGTCATGATCTATTCAAAACGTCGGCTCCCCAAGGGGTCTCGACACACTCCCTGGGACCGCTCTTTCGCCCTGAGTGGCTTATGGACAGCCCCGGCGAGGGCCCCCGACCAGAGCCCTGGACCCTATCCTTCTGCGTAATTTTTCGAGCCCGATCGATCTGTGAGGGTCCTGGGGCCCGAAGCGCGGCGAAACTGCCCGTTGTGAGAAAAAATCGCCACACCAGGTCAAGGCTTCATGTTCCTGCTTCGAGGGGGCCTGTGGGCCCCCAGTCTGTTGAGGCCTCGATCTGGGAGCAGCTCGCTTCTCGCGACGAGCCTCCAGCGGGCCCAGATCCCCGACGACATGATTTTGTCATGGCGTCGACCCTCAAAGTCTCGACCCCTTCCCAGGTACAGGTTTCTCGTCCCATGTCGTTTTTTAAAGGCCCCGAGGCCTGGCAAGGGCCCCGCCGAACGTGAGAAAAAGCCGCCCGTCGTGACTTGCTTATTGCCCGCTGGGGTCTGGGAAGCTTGTTGAGGCCTCGATCTGGGCAGCTCGCTTCTCGAGACGGCGACGGCGACGGCGACGACGACGGCGACGGCGACGGCGACGGCGACGACGACGACGACGACGACGACGACGACGACGACGACGACGAGCCTCCGGCGGGGCGCGGCGGGGGCTCGCCCGGCGGCCCCAGGGCGCCGCCGCCGCTCCAGCGCGGGGCGGCGGCGGGGCTCTCGCGCGGCTCCCACGCGCGGAGCGCGGGCGCGGCGTCGCGCGGCGGCCGGGCGCCGCCGGCGGCGTGGGCGTCCTGGCGCCGCGCCGCGGAAGGTTATGTCGGGCGTGTCCCCCAAAATAAAAATGCCCTCAAAATGCCCCCAAAATGAAAATGCCCCCAAAATGCCCCCAAAATGCCCCCAAATGAAAATGAAAATGCCCCCAAAATGCCCCCAGAATGCCCAATATGAGGGGGAGTCTCGACGAAAACATAAAAATGCCCCCAAAATGCCCCCAAAAGGTCCAACAATGCTCGAAAGACCAGTCCCCAGACCATGTTGGGACTGTTGTTTTACTATTTGGGGGGGATGTTCTATTTTTCGTCGGAAATCCCCCTGTAAAGAGACAAGCCCGACTTAACACGATGGGAGGCGCCAGCGATGTGTTGCTCTCCTCTGCTGGGCCTCCTCGCGTAAATCCGCGTTTTCTTCTTCGGCGTCTCGGCATTGGGCGGAAGGGAGGGGAGATGGAGGGGGGCCAGCTCCGAACCTCTGCTCAGCGCGACTGCTTGCAACAGTGCGTGCTATGGGGGAGGGTCTCCACCTGATCCAAACAGGCGCCAAAAACAACCAAGATCTACTCAATGGGGAGGGGTGCGAGGGCCCGCGCCAGTCGGCAAAACAGCGAATCAGAAAACGACGACTTGTGAAAAATCACGACGGGAGGTGCTTCGCTATTTTCGGCTGCCAGGGGGCCCTCCCTTGCCGGGCCTCGGGACGGTCAAGAAACGACTCAGGATGAGAAACCGGTCCCGGTGAAGGGGGTCCAGGGGTCGACGTTGTGAAAAAAAACACGACGTCGGGGGTCTGGGCTTCCCCGTAGAAAATACTTCTCCTCGTCGGCGAATTGTTGGCGTCACGGGATAGCCCTCTACGCCCTTGAGAATCACACCCGGTGGGTAGGAAGGTTCGGGGCTCTCGGGGGGGTACTAATTTCATCGTCCTGGCAACTCGTATGTACGATGGGATGTCAGTGTGGTGTAGCGATGCCCTGCTCGCTCTAGGCCTCCGTGGAGGTGTCGGAGGACAACGAACTTCGATTCATACTTCCCCCGGCGATCATGAAGTGCGGCCTCGCCGCCCCTTTCCCCAAACCGTCTGTGTCTTGGGCCGGGATAGTCAAATCGCTTCTCAGGGGTTGCAGGGAGGGACTACTTTCTTAATAATCTGGGGCATGCGGTAAGCCTCGCGGACCGTTCCCGCGGGGCAGCACGCACGATGGCACGCGATGCCTGGCAGGTCGGAGGGTGCCCAGAAGGCAAACCAAAGTGGGTCTCGAGAAGAACCTGGACTGAGGCTGCGAGCCGTACGGCGGGGCCCACTCCTGAGCAGCTCGGGGGGGGGCTGGCGAGGCCCCCGCCCCGTGGCGAGCAAATTACGACGGAACGAGCTGGAGCCTCTTCGGCCTCCTGGGCCCTCGCCGGGCCCTGGGACCGTCAAAAGACAGCTCGGGGTGACAGTCCGGTCCCCGGGAAGGGGTTCAGACGTCCGGGGATCCCCGGCGTGAGGAATAACCACGGAGGCCGGGTGACTTGCCCGCCCCTACTTAGAAGGCGCGCCCCTCCTCACTTGCCCGCCGGGCTCGCCGCCGAGTGGCCTTGGACGCCCGGAGTGGCTACGGGAAAAGCTGAGCACGACGCCCAGCAGCAAGCGGTGCCCTAAATCGACAGCGGCCGCTGTTGGGCAGGCGGCCGTCTGTCTCAACTATGAGCCACGCCCGCGGCAGCACATCGACAGCCGGCCCTGCTCCACGTGTGCAAGAGGACTGCTGTCAACCTTCGGCACCAGCCTGTCCGTGCCCATGTCGGTCGTACGGAGTGGTGGTGGTGGTGGAGGCCGGGGCCCAGACCGCGCTCCTTCTTCTCCCCGGCGTAGTTGCAGACGATGGGGAACTCCAGCCCGTCCACCTCCGGCGCCCCCAGCTCTCCCTGGCCGAGCTCACCCAGCCCAGGCCCCCTCGCTCTGCGAACAGCAGATTCGCAGCACTAGCACTACGCGTTCTCCATGGAGGCGCGCATCCAAACCCAACCGATAGCACAACCATCCAAGATTATATCACCAATTTGCTCGATGCACCTTAGAAGCTGGCATTCGGACATGTTCCTGGCCCGTGTCTCCAAGCTCAGGGGGTCCCTTATCTAAGATACTGTTGACAGAAGGTTCCTTCACGAACTCAAGCGGCATGGCGATATAGTTTCGTCAAATAGATGTGAGACTGGGGCTCTGATACGCGCGCGCCAAAAGGAAACTGCGCGCACCATGTTACCGCTAAGACGCAAGCAGGGTCCGATCCCCAACCCATCCCCTCGCATATATTACTTGAGCCAAACGCAAGGAAACGCGCGCGCGCAGGTTCGCTCAAAAAGCTGGGCAGGAGGAGCGGCAGTGACGACTGTATGGTTACCCAGGCGGTCTGGCCAGAAAGCGCACGGCCCACGAACAAAAGAGTCCTGAGCGCGCGCGCGGAAAGGCCGAGCATACCGAGTCTCTCAGGGGCCGGACCGGCGCACACGTTGCACACGTGTGCTACCCCAGGGAGGTGGCCCAGACCCTCGGGGGCCCACGCTGTGGAAAGACTCGACGCCAGAGCTCCGGGAACAGCGGGGAGGAACGGAAGGCCACTCGCGGGGTGGAGACAGGTTTTCACCCAGTCGATGGAAGCTCTCCTCCGCCCCCTCCTCCCCCTCCTCCTTCTCCTCCGCCTCCTCCTCCTCCTTATCCTCCGTCTCCTCCTCCTCCTCCGAGAGGCTCGGACGCACCCTTCTGCCGCCGCAGGCCTCCTGGGCTCCTGGGTGGTCAGGGTCCACGGGACCCAGCACGGCACAGCAGAGTTACGAGGCCGGGCGAGGACAGGCGCAGGGATGGGAAGGACAGCAAGGAGATCGCGGAAGGGCGAGGGGCTGGATCCTCATGCTGCTGCTGTGATCATCATCGTCATCATCATCATCATCATCATCATCATCATCAGCAGCAGCAGCATCATCATCGTCAGCAGCAGCATCATCATCTGCAGCATCATGGCCAGCATTGTCATCATAATAATAACCATCATCATCATCAGCCTCAGCCTCAGCCTCAGCCTCAGCATCATCATCCTCATCATCACACTCATCATCGTCAGCATCAGTATAATCCTCATCCAAATCAGCATCATCATCATCAGCATCATCATCATTATCAGCATCATCATCAGCATCATCACCACGATCCTCTTCCTCCTGCACCCCTCCTCCTCATCACGATGCTCACTCTGGGCCTCCTGCTCCTCCTTCTGCCCCTCGTCCTCGTGGTTCACCTCCGCTGGGAAATGATAGCGGGCGGGATGCAAGCAGGACGAGCAGCTGGAGGATGCAGAGCCACTGCGTGGCGAGGCCCAGCCAGCAGAGACACCCTGCCATGGGGCCCACGTGCGCTGCTGGGCGCCGGAGCTGGTACCGGCCTCCGCCACTGCGAGACAGCGGCGGTGCGCGCCGCGGGCTCTGCGAAGGGCTCCCGGGACGCGGCGACTCGCGGGGAGCGCTGCGGCCCCGGTGCCCGGGCACGGGTGGCGGAGCTGCCCGCGCCGTCCGCCACGAGGCCGCTGGCTGGCCCCCGTCGGGCTGCTAGCGGGCTGGGGCGGCCTCTCGAGCGCGGCGCCGCCACTTGCGGGGGCCGCGCAGGGTTGGGGCCTGGCGGCTCGAGGGGAGTGCGGCGGCCGATGCCCTGGCAGGGGAGCGAGAGGCCCCCATGGCCCCCGTCCTCTGGCTGCCTGCTGGCCCTGCTCGGACTGCGGTCGGCCAGGGGCGGACGAATCTTCCTGGTCTTCGGCGCGCTGTGAGGGCCGTCCCTTCTGCGGGACCACACGCCGTGCCCTGCCGTGCCGCTTGGGAATGGCATATAACATAAGATGAGGGCGTGTCCAAAGGCATCTCCGAAGCACCCCTCTACTCTGGTCGCACCCCCGCCATGGTGACGCTCCAGTTGTAACTCATGCTTAGCCTCCTCTTCCTGATCCTCCTCATCTTCCTCATCTTCCTCATCATCATCATCATCATCATCATCATCATCATCATCATCATCATCATCATACCTCATCGTCATCATCATCATCATCATCATCATCATCATCATCATCATCATCATCATCATCATCATCATCAGTATCATCATCATCATCATCAGCGTCATCATCATCATCATCATCAGCACCAGCATCAGCATCGGCATCAGCACCACCATCACCACCATCATCAGCATCATCATCACCATCATCAGCATCAGCATCGTCATCATCATTACCATCATCTTCACCATCATCAGCAGCATCATCCTCCTCGTCATCATCAGCAGCATCAGCATCATCATTTGATCGTCATCATCATCAGCAGCATATCATCATCATCATCATCACCATCATCATCATCATCATCATCATCATCATCATCATCATCATCATCATCATCATCATCATCATCATCATCATCATCATCATCCTCTTCATCCTCATCCGCATCCTCATCCTAATCCTCCTCCTCATCATCAGCTGCTGCTGCAGCATCATTACTATCAGCAGCGACGTCATGATCAGCATCATCATCATCATCAGCAACATCACCATAATCATCATGGTTGTCATCATCGTCGTCATCATCATCGCCGTCATCACCATCCGCAACACCATCAGCATCATATCAGCTTCATTGTCATCGCCATCACCATCATCGTCATCAGCATCATCATCAGCAGCATCATCATCGTCATAATCGTCATTAGGGGCATCATCGCCAGCATCGGCATCAGCATCAGCATCACCATCATCAACTCGTCATCACCGTCATCGCAATCACCATCAGCATGAGCATCAGCAACATCGTCATCATCGTCGTCAGAAACGTCATCATGATCACCATTATCATCATCAGCAGCATCATCAGCAGCATCATCATCAACATCATCAACTTCATCAGCATCGTAATCACCATCATCGTCATCATCATCAGTGTGATCATCATCAGTAGCATCTGCATCATGGTCATCATCAAAAGCACCATCAGCAGCAGCATGATCAACATAATCAGCATCATCAGCAACAACAGCACCATCATCATCATCATCATCATCATCATCATCATCATCATCATCATCATCATCATCATCCTCATGATCATGACCATCCTCATCATCAGCATTTGCGTCAGCAGTAGCATCAGCATCAGCATCATAATCCTCAACCTGCTGCTGCTGCTGCTCCAACTCCTTCTCCTCCTCCTCCTGCTCCATCTCCTCCGCCTACTCCTCCTTGTCCTGACCCTCCTGAGTTTGATTATGTTCTTCCTGTTCTTCCTCCCTCCCTCCTCCTCCCCTGCCTCCTCAACCCCGTCTTCCTTCTTCCTCCTGCCTCCTTCCTCCCCATGTTCCCTTCATCCTCCTCCATTGCCCGCCATATCATTCCTTCTGTCCCTCCCTCCCTCCCTCCCTGCCTCTCCGCCCCCCGCAATAGTGTCGCTCAGCTGCTCGACAATGTAAGTGGCCACGTCCTGTCGCGCAAGAACATGGCGAGGGGAGAGTAGCATTGGAACAGGGCATCGCCAGAAGAAAGGTGATATCAGGCCATGTTCGGGCAACATTCGCCGTACTAACACGGATTAAGCCCGGGATTCGCCGGATCCAGCGTGACTGTGCCAGATTAGGCCAGATTCTTCACCACGGACCTGCCATCTGCCAGATCTGGCCTCCAAGAACTTCAGAGAAGCTCCGAACAGTAGCATTGGACCTGCGAGACCAGTGTGGCATGTGGCACCTGTGAAACCCGTGGGATCTCTGCGACCTGCGAGACCTGTGGGACCCGTGAGAC